CACCACCAAGGACTCTTGCTATGTTGATACGATCCACGCCCTTCTCTTATTATTCTTATATTTCTTTTGCTGGAACAACTTTTAGTTTTCATCTAAACGTTATTTCTTCTTCTTCTTTATGTTCACCAGCTGTACACTCTGGCGTAAAGTTATGGTTGTTCGTCCACTTCTCGACTGCAGTCATGCTCCAGAACCTGAGTGTTGCGTGTGCATCAGTTTTACAGATCTGATTCAATTGAATGCTCTGATGTTTATGTTCATGTTGACTGTAGCAAAAGCATTTTTGTTTGTCTGTAAGAGCCTTTATTGTTATATTTATTCGGCACACTTATTTACCATAAAAATGACGTATAGTTCTAAAAAATGTGTCGAAAATTAATGAAACTGTGGTTTAATTTGCGTATATATCACCTCGATAAAAACTGTGGACGCAGAGGGACTCAATTCTTGCACAAGAAGGGAATTCCTGTTCGAGGTGTACGGCCTTATAAAAATCTGGAGCTGGCCGTGTACGATCATAGGAGACAGACCCAAATACTATCCCGACCGACGACGAATGTGTCTACCAGCCAGCCAATGGGTTACCCGGTCGCCGATCCCCAAATGACAGACTGACTTTCTACCCCACCAGGACATCACACAAGCGATAAACACCCGATTACACAATGTGCCACCATGTGGGTGAGGATCACCCGTGGATAGGTCCCAGAAACCGCGTTCAGCCCTTAGGTCATATTTATGGCCGGGCTATATGGCGGCCCCTGGCAAGAGCCAGAGTAGGGCTTCAAATAACGAAAATGTCATCCTAAAAAGGACGGGAAGTTTATAATCCCCAAATATAGACAAACTTATATTTATAGGTTTGACTGACTTCCGGGTTTCCGTGTTTACATTTGTCATCTGTTGCTCAAGATCACATGATCTTCGTCGTTAGAGTCACACACCCCAACTCTTGTTTATCTTCTTACCACTGACGACCAGACGCCGGTAGGTATACAACGGTCTACAGTTTAATAAAGTGTTGTACTTTCTTTAGCGTTGAGGCATTTGTTTAGGTACCTGTTATATGAAAGTAAAATCTACAGCTGTACTAATAAATGTCAATAGGTAATTAGATTAGGATTAGGTAATTAAATCAAGAAATCAGAAGATTTGAAAGATAGTTTGAATTCAATTAGAAAGTGGGCGTGTATGAGTTTGGGACTTTGCCTACTAGTTACTACCACTATTATTAATTACTATTTCTTAATAGTTTCCATTATCAGTATCAGGGCGTTGTTTTTTTTTTTTATGTGGGTGCTCGGTACCGACACCTTTTCTTGGACAGCTTCGTTTCCTCGCGCTACTTAAATAGACACTGTATAATGAATAATGATTAACATAGTAACGGCATTTTAAAAACATTTTGAATGATTTTATGGTAGTTAGGCCCATTGGTAGGTAAGTAGCCTAAGTATTAGCTTTTTCCTAAGGAAGAAAAAATCTGAATAGAATTTGAATTAGTAAGTATTATCTTTTAACTATAGTTTGTTTCCTCTTTCTCGTTTGCCCTAACAAAGACGAGAGTCAAACGATTGTTATATTTTCATACTTTTTATCTGCAACATAAAACCAAGTGGCTTCTTATTATCATAGAAATTGGAACTTTGTATTGGCTGCTAAAGATAGGACGGAACGCTTATGGGACATTTGTTGTATGGATTATATCAGTGACATTTGTTGTATGGATTAAAGTTGTGACATTTGTTGTATGGATTAAATCAGTGACAATTCTTACATAGACTGAATGCATTAGATTTGTTGTATAGATTAAATCAGTGACATTTGTTGTATGGATTAAAGCAGTGACATTTGTTGTATGGATTAAAGCAGTGCCATTTGTTGTATGGATTGAATCAGTGACAATTCTTACATAGACTGAATACATTAGATTTGTTGTATAGATTAAATCAATGATAGGTGTATCTACTTGTTACTCAGTGACATTTGTTGTATAGATTAAATCAGTGACAATTCTTACATAGATTTAGATTGAATCACTGACAGTTGAAGAAACTAATTAATGTCAGTTGTTCAGACTGAATCATTAACAATTTTAGAAACTAATTAATGTAAATTGTGTATACGGAATTACTGGCAGTTGTAGAAACTAATTAATGTCAGTTGGATAGACTGAATCACTGACAGTTGTGAATACTAATTAAAAACACTTGTTTAGATTGAATCACTGACAGTTGTAGAAACTAACTCATGTCAGTTGTGTAAATTGAATCATTGACAGTTGTAGAAACTAATTATTGTCAGTTGTATAGACTGAATCACTGACAGTTGTAGAAACTAATTAATATGAGTTGTATAGACCGAATCACTGACAGGTGTACAGACTGAATCACTGACAGTTGTAGAAACTAACTGATGTCAGTTGTAAAGACTAAATCACTGACAGTTGTAGAAACTAACTGATGTCAGTTGTATAGACTGAATCACTTACAGTTGTAGAAACTGTAGTTTGTATAGACTGAATCACTTACAGTTGTAGAAATTGTCAGTTGTATAGACTTAATCACTTACAGTTGTAGAAACTAACTGATGTCAGTTGTATAGACTGAATCACTTACAGTTGTAGAAACTGTCAGTTGTATAGACTGAATCACTGACAGTTTTAGAAACTAACTGATGTCAGTTGTTTAGACTGAATCACTTACAGTTGTAGAAACTGTCAGTTGTATAGACTGAATCACTTACAGTTGTAGAAACTGTCAGTTGTATAGACTGAATCACTTACAGTTGTAGAAACTAAGTGATGTCAGTTGTATAGACTGAATTACTGACAGTTGTAGAAACTAACTGATGTCAGTTGTATAGACTGAATCACTTACAGTTGTAGAAACTGTCAGTTGTATAGACTGAATCACTTACACTTGTAGAAACTGTCAGTTGTATAGACTGAATCACTGACAGTTGTAGAAACTAAGTGATGTCAGTTGTATAGACTGAATCACTTACAGTTGTAGAAACTGTCAGTTGTATAGACTGAATCACTGACAGTTGTAGAAACTAACTGATGTCAGTTGTATAGACTGAATCACTTACAGTTGTAGAAACTGTCAGTTATATAGACTGAATCACTGACAGTTGTAGAAACTAACTGATGTCAGTTGTATAGACTGAATCACTTACAGTTGTAGAAACTGTCAGTTGTATAGACTGAATCACTTACAGTTGTAGAAACTGTCAGTTGTATAGACTGAATCACTGACAGTTGTAGAAACTAACTGATGTCAGTTGTATAGACTGAATCACTTACAGTTGTAGAAACTGTCAGTTGTATAGACTGAATCACTTACAGTTGTAGAAACTATAGACTAATCAGTGACTGTTGTATAGACTAATCAGTGACAGTTGTATAGACTAATCAGTGACTGTTGTATAGACTAATCAGTGACTGTTGTATAGACTAATCAGTGACTGTTGTATAGACTAATCAGTGACTGATTATAGACTAATCAGTGACTGTTGTATAGACTAATCAGTGACTGTTGTATAGACTAATCAGTGACAGTTGTATAGACTAATCAGTGACTGTTGTATAGACTAATCAGTGACTGTTGTATAGACTAATCAGTGACTGTTTATAGACTAATCAGTGACTGTTGTATAGACTAATCAGTGACTGTTGTATAGACTAATCAGTGACTGTTTATAGACTAATCAGTGACTGTTTATAGACTAATCAGTGACTGTTGTATAGACTAATCAGTGACTGTTGTATAGACCAATCAGTGACTGTTGTATAGACTAATCAGTGACTGTTGTATAGACTAATCAGTGACTGATTATAGACTAATCAGTGACTGTTTATAGACTAATCAGTGACTGTTGTATAGACTAATCAGTGACTGTTGTATAGACTAATCAGTGACTGTTGTATAGACTAATCAGTGACTGTTGTATAGACTAATCAGTGACTGTTGTATAGACTAATCAGTGACTGTTGTAAAGACTAAACAGTGACTGTTGTATAGACTAAACAGTGACTGTTGTATAGACTAATCAGTAACAGTTGTATAGACTAATCAGTGACTGTTGTATAGACTAATCAGTGACTGTTGTATAGACTAATCAGTGACTGTTGTATAGACCAATCAGTGACTGTTGTATAGACTAATCAGTGACTGTTGTATAGACTAATCAGTGACTGTTGTATAGACTAATCAGTGACTGTTGTATAGACTAATCAGTGACTGTTGTATAGACTAATCAGTGACTGTTTATAGACTAATCAGGGACTGTTGTATAGACTAATCAGTGACTGTTGTATAAACTAATCACTGACAGTTGTATAGACTAATCACTGACTGTTGTATAGACTAATCAGTGACTGTTGTATAGACTAATCAGTGACTGTTTATAGACTAATCAGTGACTGTTTATAGACTAATCAGTGACTGTTTATAGACTAATCAGTGACTGTTTATAGACTAATCAGTGACTGTTTATAGACTAATCAGTGACTGTTGTATAGACTAATCAGTGACTGTTGTATAGACTAATCAGTGACTGTTGTATAGACTAATCAGTGACTGTTGTATAGACTAATCAGTGACTGTTGTATAGACTAATCAGTGACTGTTGTATAGACTAATCAGTGACTGTTGTATAGACTAATCAGTGACTGTTGTATAGACTAATCAGTGACTGTTGTATAGACTAATCAGTGACTGTTGTATAGACTAATCAGTGAGTGTTGTATAGACTAATCAGTGACTGTTGTATAGACTAATCAGTGACTGTTGTATAGACTAATCAGTGACTGTTGTATAGACTAATCAGTGACTGTTGTATAGACTAATCAGTGACTGTTGTATAGACTAATCAGTAACTGTTGTATAGAATAATCAGTGACTGTTGTATAGACCAATCAGTGACTGATGTATAGACTAGACCAATGAAAGCTGTCAATAATTAATCAATGACAGTTGTTTCAGTCCTAGTTCATCATGTCAGTTCCCAGTGATAAACCACCCAGCTACAACAACAGCATGGCATCAAACCCAGGTACAGTTGAGCATAAATGTTGTCTTAGTTGTAAGCGGCAAATGTTGCTCGTGGGTTCCGGAACCCCATTATGTTATTAAATAAACTCACTGCCCCGTCAACAAGCATGTTGTATAAAGTCAACTAATTATGGGTGTTTCCTTCTAAGTCAGATTGCATATGCTTGGAGGGTAAAGAACTAAGGGTCTGTTTACAAATAAGCCAGATCTGTGTAACTGATTTGCTCACAAAATAAGTTATGGAATAGGACTAACATCTGAAAGTAGATGAATAGCCAGAACTTTCCACCAAAGTTTACAGTCGGTAAACACAAAGAAGAAGACGTTTACAGCAAAAGAGTTCCTCATTTGTACATCATTTCTCAGTTATAATTTATTTTTCTTCTGCCTTTCTGACCCCTCAGTTATAATTACTTGCATTTAAGCAACCCCCATCGTTCCTTGCTGATTGGCAAGGGTCATCATATTTATATAATCTGGTGATATTTAACAGTATGTGTCTTTGTCATGAAACTTTTTCATGCCATGACAGCATGCTGCCAAAAATCTTATGTCTGTCTGTATAGTTGTCACCACATTTTCTCTTCTCAACATAACCTGATATGGGAAACATATTAACTGAAGAAAGACGACGCCTCAGAGAAAACTGAAGATGAACATCAATGAGAGACTGAGACCAAAGTTCCTGGACTATATTCCATGAATGAAATAGAAAAGATTGTGCAAAGGATCAAACTGGGGGCCTGGGTGAGAAAGGAGGAGGGTTGCTTTGAGGCATATCAGACTTATTGTGTTAACCCATACTTTTACAGATCAGAGTTCAATTGTATCTTCAAGAGATACAGTTACAAAGCATAAAGCCAGCACCCACACCCTGTAAAACATTCATCATCATGCCGTTCTTACAACGATTGCAAACACAAAGCTTACCAAAGGTCTTAGACGATGGTTACCAGTGTTGCCTGGACTATTCTCTTATTTAGACTGCATGGCCCTTTTTGTCGGGAAATTCCCCCCATCTGATAGATCATCCAGACCAATTTTTACGCAGATGGGTCCGTGAACATTTTCAGCATGGGCATCACACAGCGCAAAGAAGGGGAAGACACTCAGGGACAGCGGCGCTTGCTGTAAAGCGATGACATAACTGCTTCTACTTTATGCATGGGTTAAATCGCCACAGATTTACTCAATGATGTTGAAAGTAGTTATTAGTCCTCTGAATGGATGTCTATGGCACTTACTTGAGATCTACACACCGGGTAATGCGGGCGTTCCTTACACAACTATGATTGCGGGCATGACACATTACTTTAATGCTAAGGTCATTCGAATCCCTACATTCGATTGCGTGACTACATTGCAAACGTCTTTGCCTGTCCTGCGAGGCGATAAAGGAGACAATTAACCAGCTTCTCAACAATTTAGTAGAAGTACAGTGGCTCAAGCGCACGCACCCAAATGAACGTCGATGTGATTAAAATTTTATAGGAAGTCGCCGATTCTGAAACCCAGTTCAAGAGTGTCCCTTTGCCAAAGGAAACTGCATGGCTGTTGGGTGACACAGTCAACCGACTTCAAGCAAGAAACATTACGAGTGAACAGTGCGGAGGTAAACAAACTTGTGGGTCTTCAGTACAACAATCAGGACCGGTTACTGGTTGCCTTTCAGAATTTGCAACTGTTCGCTGCTGAAGATGGAGACGGAGCACTTATTGGGGTGTTCCGAGTGCTATGATGTCAATTCTTAATTCAACTTTCAACATTCTATCCTGTGCAATCTCTATGAAATCATGAATGAAACCCAGTCCAGCACCTTTGGCCTCTTTCATCAATGTTCATCTTAGCCACATTTGAGATTGCCTTAAGCAGTCGGCCGGGCACTGTATTTTTCACTCTGTGTGACCCTCCTTGCTCGATTTCATTCATGTAAGCCCCATATTCTTTATTACAGATTGCCCAATAGTCTTTTATTTCTTCACCCTTCTTGAATTCTTCCCATTGTTCGTTCAACATTTTTCACAGGGAGTTACTGTAAAACATGACTGCTACAAAGCCCACAGATTTATCATGCTACTGTATTATTAGTCAGGTCATTTACCACATTACTTTAAAGTCCTGTAACTACTTGCAAAAAGGAAACATCAGGACCCAAGTCAGTATCTATTTAAGAGTGCCTCTCTGTACAATATATGCTGAAATTTGCCACATTTGAGATCGCCTTAAGCATAACACTGGTATTTTCCATCTGTGTAACTAGCAGGGGCATTTTTTTTTTAATAGTAAAAATAGTGCTGGTGCTCTCATACTATTCCCTTACCTTCCTAGTACAGTGCAGACTCCTTAATATGATCTTGGATATGGCAAATTTCTGTTGTGAAGAACAATTTATCCCTGACAATTTGTCTTGCTTGAATTCTTATCTGGATAAGTATAATTTCTGATAAAAGAACCACTTCTTGGGTCCCCTGTGGATTCCTTATCTCTGCAATAATGTACCATTCAAAACTCTTTTTTCTGATAAGAAGAACCACAATTCTTGAAAAACAGGACAGTGTCTCTATGCCGTGAGGAGACATTAAGTATGTGGTTGCTCCTTATTTTCAAGTTAGAAAAACTGCACTGTCTATTTTAGTTCACACACAGTGTCTAAAAATAAAAAACGTTGACCATGTCTTTTTGACAGTATTCTCATGTCTAAATGACTCTGTTTAATACAAAAAAATAATACCTAATGAGTCCCTATTACAGAAGTGCTACAAAAATGAGTTCACAGTACTGTGTACCCTGCATGAAATAACAGGACAGGTGTTAACTCTACTTTTATAGCGTGAGGAGAGATTATATTTAAGTATGAAAACGAGGTGGTGCTAGCAGGAGTCTGGCCTCTAATTTCTAGTTAAAAAATTAAACAAATCGAGCTTAATACAGTATTCACCCACACAGTATCGTTGAAAAAAACTTAACAAAGATTACAGACATTTTCACCAAACACCTGTCCTTTAAAAAAAAACACTTTGAAGAGAAGAAGATAAGAAGCAGAGCAAGCTCAGTGGCAATTATGGCAGTTTATATGCTGATTGCAGGGCATTTTCTACAACATGTCATACAAATACTTTAAAAGATTACTTTTTTTTGTTTAAGGTTACCAGCCATCCTATGGAACCATTGGTGGTGTACCAGCAGGGACATACCAACCAGCAGGTGGAGCATACCAGCCAGCAGGTGGGGCATATCAGCCTGCAGGTGGGGCATACCCGCCTCCTGCAGGAGCTGTCCCATCATATAACCAATCCCACACAAATATTGTTGTCCAGCCACCTCACTCGATTGTGATTGTAGGTGGTTGTCCAGCTTGTAGGGTAAGTAATAATGTGTGTGAAAATGTGTGGTTGTTGAAATATATACAATAAGCCATATAGTATGTATGTGCGAAAATATGTGGTTGTGTAAATATGTAGAGTAAGCCATACTCTATGTGTGTATGTGAAAACGTGCAATTGTGTGAATATATGGAATTAGCTAGTTGCGTATCTTTTGCATGACATTGAGCCAACCCCCATCATTTTTGGCTGTTTTGTTTTAATAAGCAATTTTATGTTCAGTGGTTTGCCATTGTGATCTGAATGGTCAGCTGTTGGTACCTTTTCAAAATATTGTCTGCTGCAAAATTGCCTGCACTTGGAATCGAACCAAGTGCCTTGGAATTATGAAGCATGTTCGCAACAACTTAGGCACATATGCTGACAGAAATATAGAGGAAGCCTATATGTGTGTGTAAAAAATTTATGGCTATGTAAGTGTGTAGAATAAACCATGCTATAATGATGTGAATTTATCCCCTCCCCCCCCCCCCCCCCCCCCCCCCCCCCCCCCCCCCCCCCCCCCCCACCCCCTTTCCTTCCACTTTAAAAAATTGTTAAACGAACCATAATGTAACTATGTGATTCTATGTGGCTGTGTAAAATTTGAAGAACAAGCAATACAAAAAAAATCTGTGTAGAAGATCAGCACAACTTACACACCAACATACACACCCAGCCACCTATACATACATACACAGAAACAGACACATTCACACACACATACATACAGCTGAACACACAAAAGTCAACACAAACCAAAAAAAATTATTAGGAGACATTTTTCTAGGACATTAAACCTATTTACTCCAAGTGTTTGTTCCCAAATGGGGGGATAGACCAACTGCCCTAACAAGCATTGTGTTAAAAAAAAAAGGGCAACTTACTAGGGGTATGCTGAAGTTTGATGTTTTGGGTAAAAAGGAAAGAGGGTGCTAAAATGTTACATAGAACCTGTTCTTCTGTATGTCAGCGAATCTTGGAATGTCACTGAACAAATTAAGAAGAATTTGGAAGCAACAGAGATGTGGTTTCTGAGACGAATGTTACGAATACCTTGGACGGCCAGAGTAACTAACAATGATTGCTTGAAAGAGGCTAATGAAAATAGATCTCTATATACAACAATAAGAAAGAGACAAACACTGTTCTTCGGCCACATAATGAGAAGAGAGACATAAGAGAACATCGTGACAACTGAAAAGATCAGTGGAAAAAGGGATAGAGGCAGACCAAGAGAGATGATGCTGGATGGGCTGAAATGATGGCATAGAGGGATATCATCAAAAGAACTGTTCCAGGCAACCAGGGATCATGATCTGTGGAGACGCATGAGCACCTACGCCAGTTGGCAGGGTACATGATGATGATGATAGGCCAAAAGGCAGCTTAGTTTGAACTACAGGTACACGGCTTGTACAACTTTTGATGAACACACACAGGCCAAAAGGTTGGCAGCTATAGCATGAACTATTACAGCCCTCAGAGAAATGGTGAAGGATAGAGGACTTGGTACAGTGACTCTTGGCAGACTGGAATTAAGGACGGCACACACAAAACGAGACGCACACAAGAAGAGAAGACTGTATCTGCTGTACTCAGCCATCTGGGGTACTTACTTAGGATCTGAGCACCTATGGACATGCTGCAATGAGGATCCTTGGGCTGACTATTATTAATTCTACTGTAGTTGGTAAAAGTGACAGCTAAAGGACCCTTAAAAGTGACAGTAAATGACCCTTCCACCCCTTCAGGCATGTAGGGCTAGACTTTTATAGACCAATCGGCACTCGGTGGGTGATGTCGTCAACATCACCCTGGCCGCCTTTACTTCCTAGGACTTGTATCTGGTACCCATTTAAGGTTAGGTCGACTTTTTGGGAGTCTTGTGTCATTTTTTAAGAAAAAGGTCAAGCTCCAACAGGACCTGAACTCATGACCTTCAGATCCAGGCCAGTGTCTAGCCACTACACCATGGCAGCTCCCTTAATTTACCTTAACAACATGTAAATGAAGTTGCTTACTTGTTATCAATCTAAGATATGGTGCTAGGTAAATGAAATGTTTTGTTTTTGTTTTGTTAGATTGTCAAAGTTTTTATATGACAAAACCAATGTCTTTGTTTCTGATTGATACAGGTTGGTGTTTTGGAAGAAGATTTCACCTGTCTCGGTGTATTCTGTGCTATATTTTTCTTCCCTATTGGGATCCTCTGTTGTTTAGCAATGCGGCAGCGTCGCTGTGCAAATTGTGGAGCAGTCTTTGGTTAGACGTCTGGAAGCAGACCATCATTTGTTGAACAGAACACTGACCAAAATGCAAGGGAATTTATGTTAATCAACATTGTTAATTATTTTGTATGTTCATTTATCAAACAGAACACTGAACAAAACTTAATGGACTTTATCTTTAATCATCACTTACTAATTTCCTGTAATCATCTATCACAAAGAAACAATGACTAAAATTTAAGAAATTGTATCTCTATCATCAGTCATTAATTATTTTCTATGTTTACCTATGATCCCTATGTGGGTTTTGGGGTCCCATTTTGGGAGAAAAAAAGAACTGACACACTGCTCCTTAATCAAATTGTAAAAGGAGACCTAATTAAGCATTTGCTGAAATCAAATGAGTTGGGCCAAAATATGCAGATTGTGCAGCCTAGCTGTAAACCACACCACAAGGTGTCAAATGCTCTTTTAAGGAAAAGAACAATAAGAAAAAAGAGGATCTATTTATCCAACAGAACATTTAAAGAATTATAAAAAAAAACTGCTTATAATCATCTTTCAACAACTATATTCTAGGTTTTTTTGCTTATGTGCCAGTGTTACCAAATATTTGTTCATTTCTTTTTTCATTACAACATTAGCAATGTTTCAGGTTTTTTAAATTTTTTTTATTTCATGCACTAGCATTTACAAAAAGAGGACAGGGATGTAGAGCATGAAGCAGACCAAGAACAAGATGGACCAATAATATCAGAGAAACTCTACCACCAGTACAAAGTCTCGATAGTTTAGGTGGTCAGAAGGGAAGAACCAGAACTCATAGCTTGACACCTTGGTCTATACAACAGATCAACATCATGGCACAAGAGTAGTAACCCATGAGTGCTCCTTTCTACTTCTAACTAAAGCCTGAGTCCGAAGAATCTCAGTGAAGTGCACGGACTCAATAGCTCCAGTGAGGAGCCTGAAATAATTTGGGTAGATTGTCATCTCTAAATTTTGCCTGGGCAGCGCCGTTAGGCTACCTTTTTAATTTCCAACTGCCAAGGGATTTTTTATGTGCACAACAATACACAAGGGCTGTCCGATCTTACTACCCAGAGACCAGGGGAAAATTACTAGAAGTCCATGTGAAAAAATCCCAGCCTTCACAGGGACCTCCAGCACTTGAGGAAGATGCCATGCCTCAAGACCACTCAGTCCCCTTGACACTTAAAGTGGTGAAAGAGGAAGTGAAGATTTCATAATCTTTATTAGCTTTGATAGGGTTGCTGAAATTAGAAGTGAAGATTTTATAATCTTTATAAGCGGTGATGGGGTTGCTGAAATTAGAAGTGAAGATTTTATGATCTCTATTAGCTGTGATGGGGTTGCTGAAATTAGAAGTGAAGATTTTATGATCCTTATTAGCAGTGATGGGGTTGCTGAAATTAGAAGTGAAGATTTTATGATCTCTATTAGCTGTGATGGGGTTGCTGAAATTAGAAAGAGTTTCCAATACCTTCTATCCTGTTGCCTTACAGACAAGACTCATGCGAGTTCACCTACATGAATAGGCATGTTGAAAGTCGTCCCCATGTGGGATGCAATTTTTTTTTATTGGAAGCCCCACCCTGGCTTCTGCCGGAGGCCCTGAATATAGCGGGGGCATAGATATGGTCTAACGGCTGAAAGGGGTTTCTGGGCCCTCTCCAAGGGTGATTCTCATCCGCATGGTGGCACTTTGTGTCACCGGGTGTTTATCGCTTGTGTGATGTCCATTGTGGGGTACAACTATCTAACTACATGTGACACTTTTTTCCTCTCACATGGTTCCATATCTTCTCAAATGCCCAGAAATTGTGGATTTGGCAGTCTGTGTTTAATTTTTCTAAGTTTATGTGTGTATTCATATTTTGTTTTATTGCAAACTGAGCCATATTCCTTGTAAATAGAACAGTTAACAGCCATGGAGCTTTCATAACCCTTTAATGCCCATTCCGGAAACTGCTTTATAATTCATACAGTCACAATCATACAGTTGAGAGTTTTTAGACCCTCAAGCTGCTGGGGTTTTATTTCAACACTGGCTGGTTGAGAAAGGACCATTCTCCTGGCTTTTGGACAGTAGTATGAGAGTCATACGATGGTAGCCACTGTGGCCTCTCCATCTAGTATTTCCCAAAGTCCAAAAGATAGCAGGGGATGCATTTGCCCTTTACACTCAACCTCCAGGATGGAAATAGCATACAATAATTTTTTTTCATTATGGTTTAGCCAGAGCTTTTTATTTTATTTTCAAAGATGCTGACACTCACCACAAAGTGACTGAAATAGATGCAAATGCTCAGTGGTGATTAGCGTTGTAGGTGGTGATTAGTGTTGTAGGTGGTGATAGCGTTAGGCGGTGATGTTGCAGGTGGTGTTAGTGTTGTAGTTGATTAGCGTTGTAGTTTGTAATTAGTGTTGTAGGTGGTGATTAGCGTTGTAGGTGGTGATTAGCGTTGTGTTGCAGGTGGTGATTAGTGTTGCAGGTGGTGATTAGCGTTGTAGGTGGTGATTAGTGTTGCAGGTGGTGATTAGCGTTGTAGGTGGTGATTAGCGTTGTAGGTGGTGATTAGCGTTGCAGGTGGTGATTAGCGTTATATTGTAGGTGAAAAAAATATTATGCTTAGAAAAGATGCCAGTACTGAGTAATGTTGTATACAGCCAGAGAAAAGCCCTGGCTATTGGCTACAAACTACAACTGTAGCTCTCAAATTGATTTAATTTTGCTGTGTTCCCATGTTTGGGATCTGCCATCATGCTAATGACAAGAATGCAATATAATTGTAGATTTTCTAGTTTCAGCAGTATAAGTTGCAAGATGCCACAAATATGTTTTCCTGTTTCATCTTAAATTGTTGCTTTAAAAAAAAAACTATGTTCTGTTTCAGTGTAAAACATGACTTTTTGGCATTTTGTAATTAATAAATGCGTTTTTGAAAAATACTATGCATGCTCAAATTTTATGCTGCTTTTCTTGTTTTTGATTGTATGTTTTGTCTAGCTTGAGATAGATGATGCCATATTCTCACTTAGCTGTTGTTAATCCTTTCAGTCCCAAACAATGTGAACAACAGCCATCAAGTTAAATGTTCTGTTCACTCACTGCTGAAGTTGGGGACGGAGCACTTATGGGAATGTCAATTCTTAATTCAGCACGCTTTTTGGTCACATTTCACTGGAACTCCTTAGATCTTGACCATTGTGAGTCCTGATGCACCATTGCCTGTGTTTTAGCACCATTGCATCCCTCCCAGTTGTCATAATGAGATCCATTACTGTCTTCTGTCAAAATTAGGTCAGAGTACATGAAGACATCAGGTTTCAGTGTATTGAGTTTATTGGAAAGTTTTTTTTTGATGAAATGTTCATAATGGTTATCTGGGAGCCGCTGTGGTGTAGCAGACACAAGCTAGCATGCAGATCAAAGGTTCAAATCTGAACGGAGCCCGCATTTAAAAAAAAAATGATGTTGGCTCCCAAGCTGGAGTGCCAATTGGTCTATATAATATAGGTCATGGCCTGTCTGCCCAATATGCCTGAAGGTTTTTTTATCTTCTTCTTCTTCTTGCATTGAACAAGTTAGTGTTCATTTCTGTTAGGTTGCTCCTGATGTCGCTCCATTTCTTGCGTGGTCTTCCCTTTTTTTCATCAACCACCATAATATCCTGGGACTGAAAGTTAAGCGTTGAGTTGGAGAGCCTTACATGGGATAGGTTAAGGAAAATATCTGCCTAATTTAATCTGGTCAGCCTGGGGGAGAATATTTCTTTGTTTAAAGAATAAAAATGTTATTCATGACATAAATGTTTAACATGTATATATGAATACTCAAAGTGGCATTTGATAATACTGTTGACGTGTTGAAATATTATTCTTCCACTTACAGAAGCACAAATTTACTTATTTTTGGGAATCAACTTTGGTTTCTGCTTCTTTTGTGTTCACCGGCTGTAAACACCTGCAAAAAGTTCTGGTTGTTCATTCACCTCTGGGCTTCAGCCATGTTCCAGAATCTGAATGTTGCATACATATATGTTTTATAGATCTGGCTTATTTGTATGCAGACTGTTGGTTCCTTGCCTCTCAGGCAGATGTACTCCAAATTCAATGGAAGCCTGTCATTATTTGATTCATGCACATACTTTTCAAGGGGGCAGTTGGTCTGCTAATGTTTTCCCCACAATGCAGCCCCTGAACTCACACGGGAAAGCTATGGTTTAAAAGATAAGGTATTTTGGCCATGTTAAACAACATGGTGGTCTGGAGAGAATGGTGATGGCGGGTACAGTTTCCAGAAAGATGAGGCAGAGCTAGACCTCTGTGAAAGTGGAAACAAGAAACTGAAGATGCAACCTTAGTTGCTTATCTTATCTGTGACAGTGGAAACAAGAAACTGAAGATGCAACCTTAATTGCTTATCTTATCTGTGACAGTGGATACAAGAAACTGAAGATGCAACCTTAGTTGCTTATCTTATCTGCGACAGTGGATACAAGAAACTGAAGATGCAACCTTAGTTGCTTATCTTATCTGTGACAGTGGAAACAAGAAACTGAAGATGCAACCTTAGTTGCTTATCTTATCTGTGACAGTGGAAACAAGAAACTGAAGATGCAACCTTAGTTGCTTATCTTATCTGTGACAGTGGATACAAGAAACTGAAGATGCAACCTTAGTTGCTTATCTTATCTGTGACAGTGGAAACAAGAAACTGAAGATGCAACCTTAGTTGCTTATCTTATCTGCGACAGTGGAAACAAGAAACTGAAGATGCAACCTTAGTTGCTTATCTTATCTGCGACAGTGGAAACAAGAAAATGAAGATGCAACCTCAGTTGCTTATTTTATCTGCGACAGTGGAAACAAGAAACTGAAGATGCAACCTTAGTTGCTTATTTTATCTGTGACAGTGGATACAAGAAACTGAAGATGCAACCTTAGTTGCTTATCTTATCTGTTAAGCTTCCGCAAACTTTAGTAGGTGCTAGTTCAGTGTGTGACAAATAAAA